AACTAGATGTGTTTTGCTTAGGTAGCTAACTATAATAAACATACTAAAATGAAGCATAAATAAAACTAACCACAGAAGAAAAACAGGTAACAATTTAGTTTAGGGACCAATTCTCACTATTAACTATAGTTGCTTATTAGCATGCCTATAAAATATTGGCTGTTTATTAGTACTATTCTACATCCCTAATCCTACCCAATACCTAAACTTAACAACTACCTTACTAATTATTAATAATCAGCGAATTATGAGTTTATTGTGGCAAAAGCCGTAGTTAACGGTTTGTTAATAGCAAGAATTGGAGTGTTTACTCTGTTTTAGTGTCCCTTGTGGAAATGTCCAAAATGTTCACATTTGTGTTCTGTTATGAACTGCAGCACACTAAATTGAATTTGTGTAGCTAGAGCAGTTGTAAATCTTGTACTTTCATTTTTATTAGCGGGTTTATAAAAAACAACAACGAATATTTGTTAACTTGCTAAATCGGGAAAATAACGAAAAGAGAGTCCTCTCATGTCCTCTCAAGTTGAGAATCATTCGCAACTCGCGAGGATATGGGGCTTAAATAATTAATTTAGCCCAAAACGTACTTATTCAAACCACTAAAATAATAAGATAATACAAATAAAATGAGAAAATGTGAATTCTTTCATTTTTATATTTTATTCATAGCTCAGACAAAATCATTATTGGCTCTCGTCAAAAAATATTAGCATGCCTATAAAATATTGGCTGTTTATTAGTACTATTCTACATCCCTAATCCTACCCAATACCTAAACTTAACAACTACCTTACTAATTATTAATAATCAGCGAATTATGAGTTTATTGTGGCAAAAGCCGTAGTTAACGGTTTGTTAATAGCAAGAATTGGAGTGTTTACTCTGTTTTAGTGTCCCTTGTGGAAATGTCCAAAATGTTCACATTTGTGTTCTGTTATGAACTGCAGCACACTAAATTGAATTTGTGTAGCTAGAGCAGTTGTAAATCTTGTACTTTGGGTATTCAAGTGACTGGATAGCGATTCCAAAGCTCTTGCAACTTTTCAACTCTATCCTTGTAATTCTCTCACTGTTCATTTTTGTTTGCACGGCGGTCCCATTGCTAAGCAGAAGACAAGCTCCAATGGAAGACCTTGCTGCATTATTAATTTAGTCCTAATGATTTTCTGGCACATTGGCCTCTTACTCGTCAATTAGCTACCTGCCAGCTACAAGCAGAGATCTAGACTAATAAAATACTGACAGGGTCCGGGAGAGGGCCAGAGACAGCCAGTGCTAATGAGAGACTTGCTGCTAAGGTGATTAGTACGGTGTGCGTGTGTTTGTGGGAAAGAAGAGAATAAAAACAAGAGAGTATGTGCTGATAATAGTCATTTATGTGCCAGGTTACAGAGCTGTCATTACTGAGTGCCTGAGTAGATACATGGTTTCAGGTGGGAAGAAGGTTACCTGGCACTGTTTCACAGAGACTAATATTTCAACTGTTTTCGTGCTTAGCAACAATGATAATGAACTGTCACCTTAACAACAGGGATACATATCTTTTTTTTTATAAATATGTAATAATGTTCATTTAAATGTAATATAAAATGAAATATTGAATATAGTATTAAATACATTAAAACTCACAATTTGGTTACTCTAAAATGCATACATACTATATATTTTTCATCAGTCATTCCTGACATGTCAATAAATTGTCTTCATATAAAAAAAAATTAAATATTGAAATATCAAAAGGATTTTAAAAACAGATATTTTCCATATTGTCTGTATATATGTGTAAATGCTTATACACATGATTTATAATTAGTATTCCTGTTAGTCAAATCTGAGATTAAATACACACACATACACACTTATCTAAAGTTTAGTTGGTAGCACTTTATTTTAAGGTCCAATTCTCACTATTAACTAGTTGCTTATTAGCATGCCTATTACTAGCATATTGGCTGTTTATTAGTACTTATAAAGCACATATTATATATAGCCTTTTTCTGCATGATCATATTCTAGATCCCTTAATCCTAAACCTAACAACTACCTTACTAACTATTAATAAGCACCAAATTTGAAGTTTATAGAAGCAAAAGTCATAGTTAATAGTTAGTTATTAGTGAGAATTGGTCCGTAAACTAAAGTGTGATCATTTAGTTTTATTGACAAAACAAGTGGTATTATGAGGAATAAGCATCTAATTGTATCTTTTTGTATTCTGGGGAGGTTTTGAGTGTTTTAGGGGAAACTATAGCTAGAATCTCTTTCTTTTGCTAAGTGTCTGCTCTCCATAATCAGACTCAGATTTTTAAACAGCCTCTAGTCGAGCTGTCATCCATCTGTCACTGTCTTTGTTTGTGAGTGTGTGTGTGTGTGGTACAGTGTTTATTTTCTTTCTCAACACTCTGGTCATCTCGGTGAAGCCTCAGCACCTTCCCAGGTTGCCCCAGGGTATTGTGTAAATGAGTGGAGAGAAGTCATATGTAAGCATGGTAAAATGATCAAATATGTGTGTTTTTTTTTATGAAGGGGTTGCAGATATGCATGTCATGCTTGCTTTTTTATTTATTTATTTATTTATTTATTTATTCATATTTAAATTTATAATAAACCCTCCACCTCCCCCAGCTCCACCTGTCTAGATTTGCTAGAGAATTTATGTATGTTTATTTACGCAGCAGTAGCATATCTTACATGCTCACAGCAGCATGTCTGTGTATCTGTTGGCAGTAGCAAGTCCGCACTTGAGTGTCAGCATGCATAACAAATGTTGTCCATCATAGTCTTGTGTAGCCAGACCTTCAAACTGATGGCGTGATGTCTAAGTCTGCCAAGACCAAATACATAAAAACTATTCAGAGATGACAGAGATTTGTTACCTGCAAATATTTACATACAATTATATATATAAAAAAAAAAAAAATTTTAATCTGAATGTATAATAGACATAGCGCTTCTACAAATATATAAATATCTGAACACATGTCCAGGCACCAGTAAATAATGACTCAGCCCTTATGAAAATTAACCATGTTTTTATAATAGTAAAAGTGTAGTAACCATATTTTCAGTTTTTTTTTTTTTTTT